TTTTTCTTGGTCATTGAGAGTCTTCTGGCACTTTTTCTCCCGGTCTGAGACTCCATAATAGAAGCGTGCTCATATCATATGAACCAACAAGACATGGAGTCATATAAATGAAACAGGCTGCATGTTTGTTTATAACTCTGAGGAATAGTACATACAAGAAGACATCAGTTAGTAAGATAGACTGGCAGAACTAAAGTAATGGTAATGGTAGTCTGCTTTATTATATTATCATTCATTCACATATTAAATGATTTGATTTGTCCGTTTTTTCATATAAATGCATGCCACTAACTGTTAATGTATTTCAATAAAACGTAACGACGTTTAAATAAAACATTATGAATTAAAACAATACTATTAATAACTGTAAAATAGTATGTCAAGATAAATATTATACAATAGTAAATTAATCTGCAGCTATTTGTACAGACCTGTCTGGCTCTGAGAGGAAATGTGAAGCCAGCCGTAAGAATTCATGGCGCCTTGATTTTTTTCTCTTTATTTTTCAAAATAAAAGTCATTTGACATAGCCTAGTTATGTACTTAGTAAAAGTCTTTTAACTAAGTGAACTTATTTCATTCGGTTAAAAAAAAGTGCAGCTAAATAGCATCTTACGTTTAATAGACACAGAGTGACTTCAAAATTAGTATAAACTGTGAATGAACATTAGTCTTTCAAGTTTTTATAAGTAATTTTGCAGAAACAGATCTGTAAAAAAGTAATTTCTAACTAAAACCTGCATATTATTCTTTCGTTTTTTTATGGAAAATAAACTTAAATGGGGATTGTATTTCCATTTGAACTTCAGTGGACTTTTTTGTCATATTAAAGGACTTTTTCATGTAAGGTTAAATGAATTTCTGACCCAAAATTAAAGTCTTACATATATGCCAAGATATGCTGGGAAATGCCACACAGTGTTTGTTTTTTTTCCAGACAACAATTGCTAATCACAATGGGAAGACAATGTTATTCCTCCCTAGTGTTCTCCTTTTTCTGTGAATTGGTATGAGAGTGATGAGTAAGGAATGATTATAAAGATTTTCCATTTAACCACAGTCCTCATTTTACATATAAATAAAAAATCAGACTATAAAAACTGACATTATTGATGAATATCATGACTGTGTCCACCAATGATTCACCTTTTCTATGTCTTCCAATTCCTAACATTTTACGTAATAGGTAAGTGAATCATAATTAAATAATATAGTTGTCTTCATTTGAACTCTGATATATCCAAAACTTGAATAAAAGGTCTTGAAGTGAAAGCTTTTGGTTTTGGATTTTTATTTTTAACATTTTACAAACATCAACAATTACACTAAGAGGGAACAATTTTTTAATTAGTTTTCATAAAAGAGACTGAGTTGGATTTAGCAAAAGAACCGTTATAACTAATTTCAACTGTAGCTACAAACACTTATTCCTAACATGAATGTTTGTGATACACTAAATTATTATTATTTTTTATTTTTTGAGCATTTACTTCACCTGCTGCTTCTCCACGATGGATGTCCTACATGTTCTACCGCCTCCAGCGCCTCGACTGCAGCTCTGCACAAGAAGTTTGGCCAGAGGAGAAATAGTCATGTCCAACTGAGCCTGTTTTCTCTTAAGGTTTTTTTTCCCTTCACTTTCGTCAATTGGTGAAGTATTTTTTCGCGCCACTGTTGGCACTGACTTGCTTGGTTTGAGACTCTTGGAGCTGCATATCGATGGATTTGGTGATCAGTGTTTGGACTTTCAGCAGTGAAATTTAAACCACACTGAACTGAACTAAACTGAACTTCAATTCTGAAAACTGGACTGATAGTTTCAATTTACAAGAACTTATATGTCCAGCTGCTTCGACACAATCTACATTGTAAAAGTGCTCTATAAATAAACAGGAATTGAATATAAATATCTTTGTTCTTAATAGAGAAAAATGGCTATAAAGCTACACAGTGGTCTTTCAAAAGTAATTTTTGATTATACGATTTTAGTAACTATAAAAGAAACAAAACAAAACAAATAATTACATAATAAAACACTCACAAATGAACCCTCTTTGAACTGTACTTTCACATTTCTAGCTGTTTTTTAATTAATACATTTGGCCAATTCAGTTTATTCAATTCATTTATAGTCCATGTCTTTTAACTGAAAACCGGAGCACTCAGACGAAACCAACGTGAACATGGGGAAACATGCAAACTGCACACAGAATTGCCAACTGACCCAGCCTGAGCACGATGCTGTGAGGACACTAAAAATGCTGAGTTATTTAAAACTGGGTCAAATATGGGCAAACCGGATTAAATTGTCCATTCATTCATTTCCTTCGATTTAGTCCCTTCATCAGGGATTGCAACAGCAGAATGAACCGCCAACTTATCCGGCATACTGTGTGTTTTATACAGCGGATGCCCTTCCAGGTGCAACTCAGTACTGAGAAACACTCTCACATGCACACACATGAACAATTAAGTTTATTCAATTCACCTATCCCGCATGTCTTTGGACTGTGCATGTGGGAAACCGGAGCACCTGGAGGAAACCCATGCGGGAACATGCTAACTCCACACTGACATGCCAACGGACCCAGCCGTGACTTGAACCAGCTACCTTTTTGCTGCGGGGCGAAAGTGCAAACCACTAGAGACATCATGTTGCCAATGCTGCGTTATTTAAACCCAAATTGGGTCAAATATGGACAAACATTGGGTGAAATTTAGTCCTATAAATTTAATTTCAAAAAATTAACCCAGCAGTTAGTTTAATCCACATTACACCCAGAATTGGGTTAAAATAACCCAGCCTTTTTCAAAGTGAAGGACACTAAAAATCAGAATACTTCTGTAGTTATCATAAAATGTCCAACAATTTTTTCCAAAACATTTTTCACAACTGCGAAACAAATTTGGCACTTGTTGTAAAATGGAATCATAAAACTCAAATACACAGATTCCCTTTCCTCTTTAATTTTTGATATACACTTTTATATAAAAAAACAAACATAAAAAACAGATCTAAGAACACATTTTGAGAAATCTTCATATCATCACAGTTTTATCAGTAATTATTTTCGTGAGGAATCATATGTCAGATCTCACCAAATGTTCCTTGTTAATACATCAGGCACACAGGAATTTCTTTGGCACATCGCTGCTGGTTTCTGACAGGGGGGGGGGAAATATTGAGAATCTGCCAAAAGGCCTTCATGGTGTTCAGTGTCTTGCTTAAGAAACAACAGCTGGTGGCAGAGAAAGCAACCGATTGTGATTCAGGGCTTTCCAATACTGGCCGCCCATACTGAGAAAGCAATCAGCATCAGTTATTAATTACTGCAATACATGTACAGGCAGATCCAACTGCAGGAGTCAAGAATCACTGCAGGTTTCTTCACCGACCACATTTAAAGACTAAATTAATAGCCCATTTGGCTACACTGTATTTTTGTGTCTTTTTCGAAGGTTAGTTCACCCCAAAATTGAATCGGTTGACCTTCATGTTGTTTTACCTTCACGTTCGAAGCACAAATATAGATATTTTAGTCACACTTTACATTAAGGTTTCATTAATTTAAGGTAATGTATTTACTGACATGAACCAAGAATGAACAATAATTGTACGGAATTTATTAATTATAGTTTTAAATTTACTGACGCATTATTAAAATTCAAATTGTGTTTGTTAACATAATGAACTGTGAGGTAATGAGAACTAACAAAGAGTGAATTTATTTTCATTAAGTAACATTGACAAAGATGAATACATACTGTAATAAATGTATTGTTCATCGGGACCAGGGTGGGGCCAAGTCGGAGCACTCACTTTGGTCCTCCGGGCTCTGCAATGGTTGGGGAAATTCCAAATTGACCCAAAACAAATGATTACAACTGGCTTAAGATTGGCAATGAAAATTTGGAAAACTCAACCAGCAGAACCTGGGAATTAAAATAATATTTTTTTGTTCATCATTTGTTTGTAAATTCATTAACTACTGAAACCTTATTGTAAAGTGTTAATGCTATTTTTAATTAAATCTAATTGTGACTCCGCTGAAAGTCAGTTCACTCAAACTCTGATGCTTTAAAACATTCATAGAGATTAAAAATAAGAGACGCAATCCCTTTCTAAATTGAACAGGTTTAATTAAATTTATTCGAATATAAACACTGATCAGCAAGCAGTGTTTACTACTTTCAAATTTGGTTATGGAAGCTCTGGAATGCTTGCTTGACATGAGAGAACCAACGAGGTTCGTTTTTGATTGTCACATGACATCTTCGAGCTTACACAAGATCTAATGAGGTTTGTTATTGTATGTCAAAAAGGTTTTTTATATGTTAATAAAGGACTACAATGTGCTCATTATATATAGTGATCATGATTTTTCCGAAGACTTGGATTAAACTGCTTCATATTGATTTGTCTTTATGACAGTTTTAAAGGTCAGAGTGTCAATGGTGGGACACAATATTGGTTCAAACATATTAATTTGTGTTGCGAAGATGAATTTCTGTTTTTTCGGTTTGGAACAACTTTGAGGTGAGTAAATCATGATAGAAGTTTGAGTGTGCAGGTTGGTAAACGAATTCTTTAAAGCACAGGTGTCAAATTCAGTTCCTGGAAAGCTGCAGCTCAGCACAGTTTAGTTCCAACCCTAATTAAACACACTTGATCAAACTAATTAAGTGCTTTAGGCTTGTTTAATACCTACAGATAGCTGTGTTGAAGCAGGGCTGGAACCAAACTCTACAGTGTTGCAGCCCTCCAGGAATTGAGTTTGACACCCCTGATTTAAAGTCAAGTCTCAAGATGATTTGAAATGTTTTATTATTAACAACTAATACTACCATTTTTGGTTCTTTTAATATGTCTTATTTAGGATAAATAACACACATATTGTGCAGAATGTAGAGCTCCTTGATATTTTTGGACCAAATTAAAGATATAGTTCATCGAAAACTGAAAATGTACAGTTAATGTATTCATTCTCAGCCCATCCAAGTTTTTTTTTTCTTTGTTAGAACATTAAATATTATCTTTAGCTTAAATCGTGGTCCTTGGTAAACTGTTAAACACTATTATATACTATTATAGTGATTGGTGTCTCACTAATGATACACCAATCTTACTATTTTATGGTGGTTGCAGCATCCAGGTTAAGCAAAATCGTGGACCAATTTGATGAACAACACAATACATGTCCTCCTTTTCCATTGTAAACACACAACATTGGCTCACATTGGAGTTTGCACCCACATGGTATAATGCAATGTAATGTAATGTTGTGAATAGTTTTGCTCCACAAAATCTCTATGCATCATCAGGAACCACAGGTATTGTATTTCTACCAAAGAAAAGTCATAGTACATCTTGAATAGCCTAGGGTTGAGAAAATTAACTGCCATTTTTCATGTAATCATTTACTCAGCTTCATACTGTTCCAAACCTGTTTAACTTGGTTTAATGAGCATTTAACGCATTTAACTTTCCTATTAGAAAGGAAAAAAGGGCTGCAAATGTACATAGGGGTCTTTCAAACATCCTTTTTGATTATTTTAGTTATTATTGTAGAAATAACATAAATAATGTATGGCAGCCTTAACACTCACATATGGACCCTCAAGTAACTTCAAATTTAGTTGTTTTTAACTACTCTTTGACAAAAGAATGTTTCACAGACTTTACAATAATTTACCTAATAAATTTAACCAAAAAGAGAAATACTAATAGTCCAAGACAAGCTTATATGAGAGAGAATGCGAGAAGACCAAAAGCATGGCTATTGTCTCTGTAGTTATCAAAGTGTCCCAAAATATTAAAAAAAAAAATGTTCTTAACATATTTCCGAGGCAAAACAAGATTACAAAATGAAGATTTTTGTGTCGAAATGGTTCATTAAGGCCACTTTTGCAAAACTGGAACAAAGTACGGCAAATGAGTAAATGATAGAGACATTTCCATTTTTTGCCAATCTATCCCATCAAGGCTCATTATTATATTTAAACAGCAGACTGATTCTAAATGTAACCTGCAGTTACCAATGGTTGTATCCTAACCGTCCCTCATGTTCAAAGTAACGTTAAGGTAAGAAAAAAACTACCAATATGTCTAGTGATTTGTTGGTAATAAGGAATAAACAGCACATTTCCCCCATCAGAAGAGCGATCTTCTGACTGGGTACCATAACAAAATAATTCACAGCAAAATCAGGAAGGTATATTCTTAGTCCTTCCAGCGACGTTTGTAAAATTCTGTTCAACAGATACAATCATGTAAAATGCTGAATGAGATAATTTTCAAGGACAATACGAACATGAAAATACACCAGCAATAAATAAATAAAACACTCACATAAAAGGTAATAAACAAGAAAGAGACAGCAGAAAAATAGAAAACGAGGGAAGTTTTAGAAGGAGGCTTTCTGCTAATTGGCTCTGTGGTGACGGAGCAGGAAGTTGTTCCGCTCTCTCCACTGTTTTTCCTAAAGTAAAAGCTGTCTTATTTCCTCTTAACCATTGCACTGCTGCTGGTACCGGCGGTTCAGCTCTCGCAGCTCTTTTTCACGAAGGCGTCGTGCCTTGCTGGACTTGGTGGAGCGGCTGGAGCGAGTGGACTGGGATGATTTTGTGCTGTGGCAGCGTGACGAAGCTCTCTTCAGGAGATTCTGGGAAATGGACCGGTGCAGATTCTTCATGGAGGAGGAAGCTGCCATACTTACAATCCAGGGGTGTTTGAGTGCCTGGCCTGCAGAGAGCCGCTCATTAGGATCCACCGTGAGGACGCGATCGATGAAGTCCTTTGCCAGATTGGAAACACTTGGCCATGGCTATCGGAAAGAAAAAGAGAAAAAGAAAATGGCTTGAATAAAATTATATATACATTCTTAAAAATACTGGGACTTTTTATGTGTATTGATGCAATGTAGAAGGAAAAATAAAAGCTTCAAATTAACTGATCCAAGTTGAATAGTTGCAGCAAATATAAGCATAAGCTGATATTATATAAAATAAGGAACATCAAAATTGCTGTATAAAAACAAGTGCAATTTTATGAAATTCTAACACTTTAAACAAACAAATAACCACCCCTAAAAATTTAATTTAATCATTTTGAAATTTAAAACATGAATGAACAACTGTAATCATTCATTATTAAAAATTGTCACAATCATCAGCGACCTAGCAGTTGGAGATCGCTAAAGAACTACAAATCTGTCACGAAACAGGACTTTAAATCCCATCATGCACGTCCCACACACCAGTTCCAGTTCTCGGTTGTTGCTTGATTGGATATGGTTGCGGCTGAAGGTTAACAAGAATTATTTATATTATTTATAAAATTTCCAATTTTTTATATTTTATTAACGCCTACCCTCACCCCAACCCTAAACCTAACCCTCACAGTACTGCAAAAATATTAATTACTGTTATGCAGTCAGTATGAATGCTGCTATATTGATGTGCATATCACACTCCCGGCTGGCTGCTTATCCGATCTAGACTTTACATCAGTTCTCTCCCTGATTGCACACACACAGCAAAAAATGAATCATAGACTAATTACATGGATATACAGTTGTAGTCAGAATTATTAGCCCCCTTGAATTATAAACCGCTTTGTTAATTTTTCCCCCAAATTTCTGTTTAACGAAGAGAAGCTTTTTTCAACTCATTTCTAAAGCCTGGTTTATACTTCTGCGTCAAGTGACCGGTGTAACCCACGGCACACGCAACGCGAGTAGCTGTGTATTATACTTCTGCACGCCGTCTCTGTTGGTCTGCATTAACACTTCCGAAACGCTAGTTGGCAGTGAGGTGTTAATGCTCCTCTGTGTCGAGTTTCTTCGCTGATGTTTTGCTTTTCCTGAAAACATCCTGAATGTACAAGTGGTTCAAACTCGCTCATTTTGAGGCAGGAACCGGCGGACGTGCAACAACTTTAACTATGAGGTAAAGACAAAACTTTTCATCTGGAGCTCGCACCATTCGGTAATTAAGCAAGTCATTGTATAATGATGGTTTTTCTGTAGACTATCTAAAAATATATAGCTTAAAGGGCTTTTAAAAAAATTAAAAAACACTTTTATTCTAGCCGAAATAAAACAAATAATATTTTTTTCTTTCTCCAGGCAATAATTCTGACTTCAACTATATGTTTTCACCTCTCACACACACATTGCTGAGTCTTGGTGTATGTTTATCTGTAACATTGCAACGTTTTCTTTGTCTAGTCTTACCATGCTTTTAGATCCTTGTTTCTTTGCTTATCCTGTTTGCCGCCTGCATCAACCTCTGCCTGTGACTACTACCATGCTATTGGATTACCCTCATGATTACCCTTATGTTCGTTCCTGTTTGACCACTGCCTGCCTAACTAAGCTGTTAATGAACTGTGGTTGGACCCTCACTTCCAATGTCATCTGACTTTCTTGTTACTGAAATAAAGTTTTATTATTATTATTACTTTGAGAAGCATGCTCTACTGTGCAACAGTATGGAATGTCTTTCAAAGTTTCCACAGAATAAACCAAACTTTTATTTTTACTTTTTATTTTTACTTCATTTTCTGTGTACAACAAACGCCCATAGTTTTTTCGATCCCAACCAATTTTGTCTGAAAATATGTGGATAAATATATAAAACAAACAAACACAGAGCAGTCGTCTATAACAATAGATCAACCTATGGGCCAGCTCTTATTATTAGGAATAACATTTTTATATGGACCATTTTGAGGGATGTAAACGAAAACAATGGTCTCAACATATTTCCTGTTTTATATTTTTAATTTCTACAGCTTCCGAGAATCTGAAAAGAGCCACACATTGATGAATAATGTTATGATAGCTGTTTTAATGTTATTATTGAATTGCCTCTTGTTGCAGTGATGAAATAGCTTAATAACAAGCAGGAGCTTTTTATGGGACAATGACATGACCGTATTGAAATGGTCTATATGTCAAAGTCATTTGTCTAGTCATTTGATGTATAATTTAATAACATGTAATGAATAATAAATTGTTAAATAAATTGTTACTATGTGTTCACTATTCAATTTTGCAAATTGATTAAATAACCCACTATTTTAAAATGTATTTTTTGCTGAATGCATGGCTGTCAATGCGTCCAGTTGATTATGATTTAGGTTGAAAGCAGCAAAGCTTTTATTATACCACAGTCAGTCAGCTCCAGGGGTCCGTTCTTCAGTTCATTGCTGGTTTTGACTGCGTGTTTGGTTTAGTGGGCTGCAAGTAAAAAAAATTGGAAACTACACTGCAATAAATGATTTTGAGGAACATTCTGTAGCAGTTCAGAAAAAGACATCATATCACATGTGCCAACACTGTCTGGATTAATACATAATCCTTTCGGCAAATCAAAAACTGCAACTAATTAGTTCCTTTAACTTAATTATTTTCCTCTTCCAGGCACATCTTTAGACAAGTCGTGCATGTCCTGGTATGTTATGACAACTGGCCAAACACTAGCAGCTCCATAAGCAAGAGAGAAAACAAAACATGGCTTGGTTTTTGTTGGTTAGCATGACTCCTCCAGGGCTTTTCCCTGCACAGCCCACATTCGTCTTGTCTGTGACTCACAGCAGCAGAGCGGCCCTGACGCACACACTCTGCCAGGAACTCTGCGGCCTTACATCACACGCTCATGCAGGGGGTTACAGCGGGATAACACATGATGACAGGACACAAGCACACACACACACACACACACACACACACACACACACACACACACACACACATACACTCCTCCAAATAAAAGCACACGCAATCCCACCAAAAACATGCATACAAATACTTGCACAATAAACAGAGGCACGCAAATAAACACATTGGAAAAACCAAGGTCAAACACAGAACGGTTGGCAAAGGTTTAAAGTGTTTGAAAAGCCCTTTGTGATGAATAGAAACAGAGCAGACAGACAGACAGGCAGAAAGAGGCAGAACAATTATGGCCTGTTGTGTTTTGAGATGGTGGCTTTGTGGGGGAAATTTGGATTTAGGAATGTACTTCTGAATGGACTGGGTAGAAAACCTCATTGACCTCAAGTCGCTGGAGAGATGTGGACAGATATTTTCGCTGGGGCACTGTCATTCTTGTTTTAGAGGGCACCTGATTGGGCAAAAGTTTGTGTAGTGCAGTATGAGTCATCAGTAGGGGCCTATGATTTCCACATTGTTGGAAACAGTTTACAGAATAATAGAATCTGCGGGCATAGAAATGTAGGTTAATATAGCATGGACTAGAGCTGCACAATTAATCAAAAAAACCTAGACGTTTTGTGTAGACGATCTTAATCCAGCAATTCTACGATTCTGTCAGTCATATTTTCAAGTGCAGGTGAAAAGAAAAGGCGGCCACACGAGTCTTTTCATTGTTTCACATACATTGCTCAGTGACACGGACACCTCCAAATGATGTTGAATAAGCCACATACTGTTTTTATAAGGTATAATTCACCTAAAAATGTCATTTTGTCTTCATATAATGATGTTTTCGCGGCCAGGAAATCAAACGTGACGAGAGCTGCTGACCGTGAGGTGTTATCACAGAGAGGGCGCGCGGACGCTCTACTTAATGACAGACACGCGTGTCTACTTTGGTGAACTGAACCTGGATATGTTGTGAGTGACAGGTAATACAGTTGTAAATAATAGGCTTATTCAGTTTGTGGCACAGAGTGATCGTTTGAGAGCCGCGCGCGAAGTATGAACAAGCACTTAGCAGTCAAAATGAAACCCGAAAGTGTGCACATCATTTAAATAATCATATCGCATTTTAGAGTTATGACTGCGACAAGCATTTGGTAAGTTTTTTCTTTCATAGCGAACAGAGTTGTGCATAAAAATAAAGGTTTACATTGTCAGTATAACTACTCTAGCCTATATATTGTTGAATATAATCTGATAATGACAAATGTCTGATTTTCCCAGTGAATGAAATTGTCTAATAATGTTGTCAATGACAGATTGCAAGCATTTATCTCAAACATCATAATTCAACATCAGAATTATTATAAGTAGAATAGTATTATTTATACAAACCAGTAGACCAACATATAATATTATTAACGATGTTTTGCCATATGTTTGCTTTTACCATACTTTAATTTTACATCTACAGAATCGTGAGAAAATTGTAATATTTATTTTAAGCAAAACATTCTCATTTTAGCCAGAATCGTGCAGCTCTATGGACTATCAATCAATTTTGAATGAATAATATGTAATTTTCTGTAGAGGGCCTCTAATTTTTTCTAACTTTGTTTGTTGTTAATAAAGACCCTCTAGCAAAACAAGGCATAGTTTGATGTCCCAGTGACTGAGTGTTGAATCATGGAGTCTACATTATCATCTACAATACATTCTGTGGGACTCCTGCAGAAATTATGTTCATGCTAAGTATAAAAAATTTATCATCGTAATAACATGAAGCAGTGTAAGGCTTAAAGCCATCGAATCAAAATGAGACCCCCGAAGCAATTGCAGATGAGAGTTGAGCATGACAATGCTTGAAAGCAGCAAAGCTTTTATTATGCCACAGTCAATCAGTTGCAGTTTTTCTGTTTGTGATCACATGAGGAAGAAGCAGTGCTAATTACATTTTAGGTTTTTATAAAACCATATCAGAAATAAAGGGTGTGTGTGACGTCCTTAGCATTGTGACACAGGACAAAGTCTCTGTCACTAGTTGAAATTGTTTATTTATCTGAATCTGAACATTCTTCAAAACAATTGGAAAAATGTACACCCAATTAAAGCCAAGGTTATGATTAGGCCCACACGGAATCCCATCATTCTATCTATTT